TTTTTTTTTTTTTTTTTTTTTTTTTTTTTTTTTTTAACTATCATATCTTTAAAATCTTCGATCACACAAGACAAGACGATAATGAATTCTGCATCTGTTCTTAAATATGAACAGGTTTTGTAGAACAGATTCTTAATTGTAGCAATACATAAAGTTATGAACAACAACAACCTTTGTAATTATACCCAACTAAATGACCCAAAACCAAGCAACAACAGAGCCAATAGCCAAACCAGAGAAGGAGAACAGAACCAATATAACCCCTGTTTTCTCTGCATATTCAAACGCCACTGCTTTGGGTGCCAATATCAAATTCACCGCCGTCAAGTACCCATTAGTAAGCCCAAGAAGGTACGTAAGAACAATCACAGGTACCTCACTTCGAAGAAACTCCGGACCATGCAAGCAACCCAAGAACAGGGGATAGAACACCAGCCTCCCGATGCAGCTGCCGAAGGCGGTTCTCGGGTTTTCGATCACATAAACCGATGAAAGATACTTCCCAATTAGATCAAACACATTGTACCCAGTAATCAGAAGAGCTGAATACCAATCTTTGAAGATCTCCGAATGCACATCTTCTGTAATGAATCCAGGAAATATAGACAGAGTTACAACATTGATGAGTACCAACCCTGTTGCGTAGATTTTTACTCTGTTAATTATATCCCACAGAGTCGATTTATCCATGGACCCAAATAGCCGATCACCATGTTCTTCTTTCTCTTGCTTCTTAATGCTCTCGAAATGTTTCACTACTGGAAGCATAGCTGCAAGATTGTACAAGACAATACACAGAATCATGATGGAAATTCCGACAGCGAAGTAGAGATTCGCACTCTGTCGCAAGCCATGAGCGTCTTGTGGGTAAATGGCTTTGGTTACGATCCTCATCACCGACACCAGTACTCCTACACTCGCCATAAATTAACCCAATTTCAAAATCTGGGGTTTAATTAAAGGGGATTTTGCAGTTTTTGGTGAAGAATTATAGTCCAGTTCATACCAAAATCAAGACAAGACAGCGAAAAAGTAGCAAAAAAAAAACAGAGACCGACAAAAATCATTACCAGCTGCACCGAATCCGGAAACAGCTGCCTGCATATACCGCTCCGGGAGTTCACCGGCGCAGCCAACAACACTGCCTTGGACAAGCGCGTCGCCGGCACCGCACAGCACGATGGATCCGACAGTGACGTGGAAGCCATTATACAGTCCAACCCGACCTCTAATATAAGACAAATCCAAGACCGGGACGAGGAGCAGAGCCACCGTGAAGATAATCATACCGACGTTGATTCGAACCCGAGCAACGGATTTGTGAGAGTAGAGAACCACAAAAACAAGTCCGATCAGAGCCACAAGAAGGTTCGCGACGGCGAAGATTCGATCCACTCGGGTTTCTGGATAAATAAACGAAAAATAATCGACGGCGGTGATGAAGATGTTCCATGGGAGAAGACAACCCACACCCAAAAAGAAGTAAGTGATGTAAGTCAAGTTGAAAGGGTCGCTCGGAATCTTGTCGGCGGTTGCAGCGCCGACGAGAAGGGCGGTTTCAGAATCTACATCGGAATTCTCCACGGCTCCACCCATCGATGATCGCCAAAATCTAAACGAATAATTGGGGAAATCAAACAAATTTCAGGTAATGGAGAGCTCCGCTCCGTCACAGGCCAGAAAAGTATTAAATAAACATTTTTTTTACAGTGAAAAATAATTATTTTTTTTTCAACTTATATATAATAAATTAGGAGTAAAAATCGGTGTTAAGTGGGCCCTATTGATTCTGCCACGTGGCCCAATATACACCGTCCAATTTCAAACGTCTTTTTCATTCTTATTTATTATGTTGAACTCTCCATTTTTATTGGAGTATTTGAAAATAAAGAATATTATAAGACTAAAAATGAAATTGATATAAAAAATAAAATATTTTAGGTTAAAATTATATTTAAATACGAACATATTTCTCACCTTGTTATATATGAGAAAATAAATTTAAAAAATTAAAAAATAAGAAAATTGTATTTCTTAAATGAAAAGGTAAAAAATAATAAATAAATAAATAAAGCAAAAAGAAAAAACAGTATAAATAAAGCAACAAAAAAAACACGTGGCACCACATTGTTGGACTACAAATGCACCAAACAACCCAAGTTTTACTCCTACGTCACTCTCTCTTGCTTTCGTATATTATTTTAATGAAATGAATTATCAATAGACTTTTTAATATATATATATATATATATATATAAAATAAAATATTGGAAAATAGTTTTTATGGACTGTGTGTTCAAATTTTTTATTTTTATATTATGGGTAGTTAATTTATTTTAAATTATAAAATTGAAAATATAAGAATTTTACTAAATTCATATATATTTGTAATATCGTAAATTTATTAAACATTTTAAAATTCACCAATTAAATAGATATAAATCTTAAAATGGGTAGGAATATAAGAAAATGTTTATAAATAATTTAAAATTATGCACATGTTTTATTATGTCTAATGCAAGTAATTATTTTTTAAAAAATATTATAATTTTTTAAAAAAAGAAAAAAAAAAGTTGAGTGGGAATGGGCGGTTGGGACAAGTATTATTTAATATTTTTAAAAAAGGATATTTAATATGTGGATTTTGACTTTATCGAGTTCAATTATTTGAAACCACCAAATAAATTTTAAAAATTAAAAAAGAAAAAGAAAAAACGGAATATCTCCGTCCCCTTCCGAGGATGGTCTCAAATCGTCACCTTCTGAGGAGCCAACAATTTTGGATGATTTAAGCTTATTATTATTAATAAAAATATCGTATAAATTATAATTTAAACAAAAAATATCTTTTACACTTTATAAAAAAAAAAAAAATCAATAATATTTTTATACCTTAAAAAAAATTCTCAAAAATATCTCAGTGAGGTATTTGTTTTAAAAAATTTCATTAATATTTTTTGAACTTTTTTAAAACGTTAAAAATGTGCTTAGTATCATATTTAAAAATATGAGTGAAATTGTACTTAGGAAACCGTCTATCCACTTCTCAAATAATATTTCCAAACTTAATGTTATATGTATTTAGGTTAAATTTAAGGGTATTTTTATTAGCGGAGCTAACAAGCTTATTTATCATATTTTTATAGTTTAGAACATGTTATTTATCATAGTTTTATTAAGTTTAAATATATATATATATAGATAGATATTTTAGATAAAAATAAAGTTATAGTTTAGAATATGTTAATTCGTAGGCTAATTAATAAAAACACTTTTAAACTTGGTACTTTGTCTAAAAAAAATATTCATAAATTTTTAAAATTTTCAATAATACCTTTGAACTTTAAAAAAAAAAAAGTAATTTTAAAAAATTCCGTTAATACTCGTCAACTTTTTTAAAAAGTTAAAAAATACTCCTAGAATTGCAATTATAAAAATTATATTAATACCCTTTACTCTTATTAAAAAGAAAAAAATCTTATCAATTGATATATGGATAAAAACTATGTATGAATCCCTCGAATTGTTTCTAATATTTTAATATTATTTTTTAAAGTAGTAATAATAAGAATATTTTTTTAATATATTTTTTTTTAAATTAAAGATGTTTTTTATTTTTATTTTTTGTAAACAGAGTATCAAAAGGTTGAGATCCAAATTTTGATCTTAGTTTTAATAATTTAAGCTAAAATATTGAGAAGAATTATTGGGTAATTAATATTAAATTTTATAGATTATATAATTAACGTTAATTAGGCCAATAAAGTATAGCTAGGGAGGGTGAGAAATTATATTTAAATGAGCAAGGAGTACCTAACCCATGTTTAATTCTCAGTTATATATAATATTTAATCCATAAGACTTATCATTAATTTAATCTTTAATTAAAACTTTTAAAACACATATTACTTAAATATAATTTTAAGTTTTGTATACTAATAATTAAGTTTATATATTATAAATTTCAACGATTAGAATTATTTTAGTATAATCATTTTTTCCATAAAATACCAGCTACTGGAAATAAAATATTATTATATTATGAAAATTATATATTAAAAATAATAAATTAATAAAAACACCTTTCAACATTTTACTTTATTTCAAAAATACTCTTCAATTATTAAAAATTTTAATAATACTCTTGAACTTAATTTAAAAAAAAAATACTATATTTTAGATTTAGATAAAAATTCTTACGGCTTTGTTTCTAAAATAATATTGAATTTAAAAGATTTCAAAAATATCAGTTTAAAATTTAAAAAATACCTTAAAACCTTTTTTAAAAAATTTAAAAATACTCGGGAGTAGCACTTAAAAGTTTGGAGGTGATTTATGAAATATATATAGATTATTTTCGTCGTATATTAACCGAATGTTAATGCAATTTTTAAAATTTTATAAGTATTTTTTAAATATAATACTATTTTAATTTTTTTAGGAGGTAAATGTATTTTAAAATATATTTTTTTTTAATTAATGTAGCCATTAAAAATATTATTATAAATTTCAAACCATACCCAATTATGTTATATTTAATAATAGCGTATTAGACACATTGAAAAATTCATATTAAAAAAAAAAAAGACTTAGAGTTTTCTTTATTGATTTAATAAAATTTTATAATGGGATGAATTTTGATTAATTAATTTGATAAAAGACTTTAGAGTTTTGAAGCATTTAAAAATGGAATGGACCAACGGTTTGAGAAAACTTGTTGTCCAATCATATATGATAAGGTAATGGCAATAGTTTTCATTAATCTCTTCTATTATATTTATAAATTCCTTAACTTTAGGGAACCACTCAAATTATTATTTTTTTAAATATAATAAATTTTATGTTATCTTAAAAGAAACAAATTCTCATCTCTACACGAAAACGTGTGGAAATTTTGTTTTAAAATTACGAGTTTAAAAGTCTTCGGACATTCCATTTGCACAAACCCACTTATATATTTATTTAATTTAAACAAATTAAAAAAAAACTTTAATAAAGACGTGATATTGTCTACTTTAAACATAAATTCTCATCATCCGAATAAAAGAGAGGCAGAACAATTATGAAGATAGGATGACTAAAAAATAGTTACAACAATTGAAAGTCACTTTTTATACCAACAAAAATGCACGTGAATGAAGACAAAATAAGCCGTCTAGGAATTGGGTTATGAATTAGTCAGAGATTCAAATAATTTAAAAAAAAAATGTATTAGGAATTTCTTGCAAATAATTTAAATTAATTTAATAGGTTAAAATTAAAAATTTTAATCGGTTAAGACATAAAGCGTTGAAAGTGATTTTATTTGTTTATTTTATTATTTATTTATTTATTTAAAGGGATATTATGAACCGATTTATTATTTATTTATTTCAAGGGATATAATTGAACAGCTTCGGATAATTTCATATCCTTTAGTTTTATTTCCGTTCTCTATTTTAATGCGAATAAAATAATTTTAATTTTAATTTTTTTTTAGCAATTCAATTTAATTTAATAATTTTTTAAAATATTTTTTTAAATCTTTTTAAACTTTCCATTGAAAGATGCAACGATAAGAAAGCGACATTGTCGGAAAAGAGTTGCTAGTCTAGATTTTTCCAAATTTAGAAAACGAACATTTTTTTTTTTTTGGAAAAAATTGCTAAAATCAATTTAACGATTTTTTTTATAAATATTTCTATTAATATATTTTTTTTAACCAACTGAGTTGTACGGGTGACTTGAACAACTCAACCTGACCTTTTATTTTTGGATTGAGTTGTTTTTTTTTTAATTATTTAAAAAAATATTACTTATTCACGGTACATATTAAATTAATAACTAAAATCTCATCATATTCAAATATCAAACATTCACACGTCAAACACATTACTAACATCGGTTACAAATGTTAAATATTCTTAATTTTCACGACAATCTTAAAAGTATGATAGGGTAAGATTGAGTTATATCTCTATTTTCTAATTGATCTGGTCGGTCGAGTTGAATTTATAATTTTTCAAAAAAACATTCCATCCCGAACGGAAAAATCTAACCCAACTCAACAGTTGAGTAGTTCGAGTTGGTTGATTCCTCCGGTCATTTGAACACTCAACTCTTATAATTATATTGTAATAAACCTCAAAAAAAAAAAAAAATCAATCATTAATTTATTTTATTTAGTACAAAGAAAATGACATATTACATGTGAATTACAACGGAATTTGATTTGATACAAAGTAATATACATTTTATATGTAGTTCACATGAATCGAATATTATTCTTTTCGGAATTTTCACATGTTTCATTCGACTTATTACGATATTCACATGAAATAAATGGAAAAAATTAGTTTGCACGCCCTACTATTTTCAAGAGACATTTACGGAGTAAAAAAGTTAATTTTATCTGTATAACAAAAAATTTACTTTTTTACCCCTGTGATCAAATTTAATGTTAATACCATATGATAAACAATTTAATGTCACGAGCCATAACTTTTACTTGTTCAAATAACAATTAAGGTGAAGCAGAGGGTCAGAAACAACGAATCTCTTTATGACAAATAGATTCATTTTGCAAGTTCGTTATTACGGGTAGTTCCTACAAAGGATCGGACTAATGACGTATACAATACTTGAATTCTCGATGTAGATGCTACATAGTTGGTTCTCATCCTTCAGAGACTATGAGTGTAATAGGAGCATCCGTCGACAAAAGGATCACCTTAAGATGACATGACTATTGAGAACGAATCAAATCAAATGGTTCTATTTTTCAATCTTTCTGACTTTCTCCTACGGAATTAAGGTCGAAAAGATTGAGAAAAATCAGTCATTCACAACCACTGATGAAAGATTCCTCGAAAAGTTAATGATTAGTAATCCTTTTTAGAAATCGAATAGATTCGGTCTTATACATACGCGAGGAAGGTAATAAAAAAAGGAAAGAAGATGAGTTCTTAGATTGTTACGCTGTCATTTTTTATATGAATAATTTATTATAATTATTAAACCAAGAAACTTGTTTATAAAGCATAGATATTTTAGTAAAATAGTTAAATCAAGCATAGATGTTTTAATAAGGTGGGCCTTTAAATTAATCATGATTTTTTTTTTTTTTTTTTTTTTATGTATATAAAGTTGGTTTTGAAAAAGGTAATTATAAAGAATAATTAACATCAAGTGGGTGATATTATGCATTATTATATTTCAAATAAGAAGAAAGTATAAATCCTTCAATCCAATCCTAAATGATCCAAACCCATTGAACAACAAAACCCAATAAGAGGAATTACAGTATAATTCGGTAATGGTGATGTATGTTAGATGAATACGACTCTCTGTAATGATATGATATTGTCCACTTTGAATATAAGTTTTTGTAGCTTTGCTTTAAGCTTTCCTAAATTAACCGATGTGGGACTTTCATCATACAACAATGTAGAACCCGTCGTACAACCCCGACTCGACCCCTAATGTAGAGTAGATCCAAAAGGGGCACGGTGAGCAAACAGAGGACGAACAAGAGTATAAGCGACGGGGAAGATGCGGTCCACGTGGGTATTGGGGTAGATGTAGGCGAAGTAATCGACGGCGGTGATGAAAGCATTCCAGGGGAAGAAATAAGATATGTAAGTCAAGTGTGAAGGTGTCTTTCCGGACCTTGGCGGTGGACCGTTTACAGTTTTTAAGAAGTTATTAGTTCTTTTAAATTCTACATTTATTGTCTTTTGAGATATAAAAATATCCATAAAAATGTCACAATTTAATTTTCTGTTCAACCGTAATTTTCAATTAAATTAAGCATTAATTCTTTTTTTTTTTTTATAGAAAAAAAGGAATAGGAATTTTTTATATAGTTAATTTTTCATTCAAAACTCTTCAAATAAAAACAAAATAGTATTAAAATTAAATTATCATATATGGGTCAAATGTTGAATAATATATTTCAAACATATGAAATTGTCTAATAATTCAACTTATTAAATAAGAAGACGAAACATATTAAATTATTGAATTATTTAAGTTATTAAATATTACAAAGACATCATCACAGCAATAATAACTAAAAAATATTATATTTATTAGAAGTTAAGGAGATCAAAGCTAATGGACTGTTATTAGCTCTTAAAAACCCGAGCTAATACCCAAACAAATCTGAATAAATAATTAAAAAAAAAAAACCCTATTTACATCCTGTCTATTTACCCCCAAAAAATCCTTTAAAAAATAAAATTAAAAAAAAAAAAAAAAAAAAACGATTTACAAATTTACCAGGCTTGAACTGATCGTTCATTTGAAAGGCGAACAGGGATTGGGTCGGAGCTTGCGGCCACTACTTCGCAGTGTTCATGGAGAATTCTCATCAAAGAACCCGCCTTCCTTCTCCCACGGGCTGTGCCTTCTCTGATAATAATGTACAGAGATGAAATTACGGCCTCGCTTTTTGCAAGGATTTGGAGTACTTCACATCCGCCATGGATGCACAGAGCTAGCAGTAAACAAACAGAGTACTCTCGTCCTGCACTTGAGCTACATGAACTCATGAACTCCATTGTTAAACTCAAAGCCCCACATCGCATGATCGCGGTGGCTCCTTCCGGCTTCTCTGCTAGAGTTGCAAGAATCTCCATTGAATCTGCAATGAGAGTTTCCCTATCGGATGTTTCAAGCAAATTCACCAATAAAGGAACTGCTCCAATGGAGAGAACTCTTCTGTGGTTTTCAGGATGCGTAAGAAGTCCATATATTGCAACCATTGCGTTCTTTTTGCTACGATCTGAATCTTCCTTGAGTAAGTTCATTAAGCCCATAAGTGCTTCTGGGGTTTGGCCTATGAGCTTTCTGTACTCTTCAATGGAAGCCATGTAAAACAGAGTATAAGCAGATAATTGACGGGCTTCTGTTGTGTAACCCATCGTTAAAACATTTATAATTGCCTCCAATCCTCTGTTTTCTGCTATTACTCTCTTGCTTTTTGAATGCTTTGAAAGATTCAAAACAGCTGCAATTGCGTTCTTTTGCATCAAACCATCTGATGATCTCAAAAGCTTTAATAAATTTGGAATCAGACCAACTTCCACCAAGTAAGACCGATAAAAAATGCTTGATTTGGATAGAAGTTTGATCTCATAAGCGGCTCTGTTCTTCTCGTTTGGCGTTCCTGTTTCCAGAAGGCGGGCTAAATATTTCGCCAAAACCCAAACGATCTTCTCGGCTGTTGAGCTACCTGCAACAATTGTTCTCGTTATGTTGCGTTTTTGTTTGCTTGATTCTGGATAAGGGATTGAATGTTTAGAACAGCATCGCCGAATTATCCGACGGAGAGCTAAATTGGGGACTAACTCTCTGTTCTTCAATCTCTCCCCTGTTTTAGGGCAGGTGGAATTTCCAGCCCTCAACCATTTTTGAATCGAAGAGCGATCATATGTCTGCCCTGTTCCTACTGTTACTGGATCAATCATGAAATCCAACGAGATTGGGCATCGAAAATCATCGTGGTTAAAACAATCGATGATTTCAGCTCCATATCGATGGATAAGCGGAACTGCTTCGTAATCGATAACATCAAATAATATGCATCGACAGTAGTTCATCAGACCAATCAATTTGCTTAAAAATGAAAACTCTAGCTTCTCGTGAGCCGACCATTCGATTTCAATTTCCGACTCCAAGAATTTCACCTCTTTATTGCATAAACTCCATGTTTTAATCCCAATATAATCAAGAAATCGTTTGATTTGAGTATTATCCGGAGTAACACTGCAATCGAAAACAGCTAGAATTGATCTTACCTCGTTGAGAATCTCTTCATCTTCGCGATCGATTTGAAATTTCATCTTTCGTGTTTGTTTCGCCGCTAATTCCACAAACTCGACGACTTCGATAGGCAAATCGATCGAATCCAAAGGCAAAATCTCCAGAGCCAAAGCGACGGATCGGATCAAAACCTGGAACCGATTCGCGACGAACTCCGATTTCATAAGCATGAACAAACGAGCACCTTCTAGGACACAATCCTCCAAAAGAAACAGAAGCTTCTGGAAGATAAAGTGGAGCTCCAATAAGATTAAAACAACAGAATCCGACAGATCTTCCGCTTTTCGACCTTGAATTTCTTCAAAGAACATCAGAAGGATTTCGATTTGGCGAATCGCTTTAATGGCGTTTCGCTTGTTGCTACCGAAGAACTCCGATCTGTAGCCGCAGATTTTTCGACTGACATTGATCAAAGACGTCAACAACGTCGCCGGAGATGTGCATTCGCATGGTTGAATCGCCGGTAACGACAGAATCCGGCGATTGAAGTCGTTTGATTTTCGAATCATTAAACAGAAATAGAGAGAATCGAAAAAGTTCGTATATGGATTTTGGTGATTTGTTTTTATCTCTCACCAAATTACTATATATATATATATTGACGGCAAGCTTTCTGCTTCTGAAGTCCCGCTCCAGGAGGGAAAAGGAAGCATCCTAAGTATATCATAGACACGTGTCGAACGATGATTGATCCTAAGCCAGTTTGACCTGAGATCCGACACGTGTACGTAGGAGATAGGATAGTGCAGCTTCGTGGAAATCTATTTGAACGTGAATCAATCACATGATGACACGTATCCTGAGTTAACGGCATGGAATTCGTGACAGGTGAGATTCGCCGACATTCAATTAAGGTCGAGTTTTTATATTTTGGTAACATGGAAATTATTATTGAGGCAATAATTGTTTTAAAAATTGACCAAAATTATTTTACGTCCTAATTTCCTGAAATTTCCTTGAACAATCCCTTTGTTGATTATTCAGATTTTTTTTTTTTTTTTTTTTTTAATTTTGTCAAATAATTTTTTTTAGTATATAAAGAAAATGTGCATATCAAATACTTATATTTCATATAATTGATTTGATACACACTTGATACACACGAAAAAAAAAAAAAAAAAGTGAGCTTTGCTCGTTTCTCACAAATAGCAAAGAAATGGCGTGGTGGAACAGACTATGGATTTGATGCCCCGTGACTTGGTCCGGATGGAGGAATGGGAATGTTTTTTGGTAACATTCCATAGTTGATGGGATGGTCAAGTGCCTCGTGACTTGGTCCGGAAGGAGGAATGGGGATGTTTTTAGGTAACATCCCATAGTTGATGGGATGGTCTGGTGCCCCATGACTTGGTCCGGAAGGAGGAATGGGGATGTTTTTAGGTAACATTCCATAGTTTATGGGATGGTCTGGTGGCCCATGACTTGGTCCGGAAGGAGGAATGGGGATGTTTTTCGGTAACATTCCATAGTTTATGGGATGGTCTGGTGGCCCATGACTTGGTCCGGAAGGAGGAATGGGGATGTTTTTTGGTAACATTCCATAGTTTATGGGATGGTCTGGTGGCCCATGACTTGGTCCGGATGGAGGAATAGGGATGTTTTTCGGTAACATTCCATAGTTGATGGGATGGTCTGGTGCCCCGTGACTTGGTCCGGATGGAGGAATGGGGATGTTTTTCGGTAACATTCCATAGTTGATGGGATGGTCTGGTGCCCCGTGACTTGGTCCGGATGGAGGAATGGGGATGTTTTTAGGTAACATTCCATAGTTGATGGGATGGTCTGGTGCACCGTGACTTGGTCCGGATGGAGGAATGGGGATGTTTTTCGGTAACATTCCATAGTTGATGGGATGGTCTGGTGCCCCGTGACTTGGTCCGGATGGAGGAATGGGGATGTTTTTCGGTAACATTCCATAGTTGATGGGATGGTCTGGTGCCCCGTGACTTGGTCCAGATGGAGGAATGGGGATGTTTTTAGGTAACATTCCATAGTTGATGGGATGGTCTGGTGCCCCGTGACTTGGTCCGGATGGAGGAATGAGGATGTTTTTCGGTAACATTCCATAGTTTATGGGATGGTCTGGTGGCCCATGACTTGGTTCGGAAGGAGGAATGGGGATGTTTTTAGGTAACATTCCATAGTTGATGGGATGGTCTGGTGCCCCGTGACTTGGTCCGGATGGAGGAATGGGGATGTTTTTCGGTAACATTCCATAGTTGATGGGATGGTCTGGTGCCCCGTGACTTGGTCCAGATGGAGGAATGGGGATGTTTTTAGGTAACATTCCATAGTTGATGGGATGGTCTGGTGCCCCGTGACTTGGTCCGGATGGAGGAATGGGGATGTTTTTCGGTAACATTCCATAGTTGATGGGATGGTCTGGTGCCCCGTGACTTGGTCCAGATGGAGGAATGGGGATGTTTTTAGGTAACATTCCATAGTTGATGGGATGGTCTGGTGCCCCATGACTTGGTCCGGATGGAGGAATGGGCATGTTTTTCGGTAACATTCCATAGTTGATTGGATGGTATGGTGCCTCGTGACTTGGTCCAGATGGAGGAATGTGCTTGGTTTTTGATAACATCCTATCGTGCAATAGAGGTAGAGGAGGTGGATAGGTTATGGTCATCTGATTCAGACCAGGAGCAGGAATATGAGGAGCTTTTGGAACTATTCTAAAGTCTACCATAGATAGCTTCTTGCTTTGGCTCGATTCAGATGAAGAAATATGCACGGTTTTTCTTAGAAATCCAAAGTCTACCCTTATATCATCATAAGATTCTTCGGGTTTATGAGTCGAAACAACATTTCTAGCATTTGTTTGGGAAACGAGCAAAAGAAACCCAAAGAGAACTAAACTATAGGCTCCCCAAGAGATGATAGAGCTTCTTGGGGCCATTATTGCTATGGGTTTGCTGATGTGCTTTCATTAGCTTTCCCTTTATATAGCATTAATGGCATCTAATTTTAGTCAAATCCAGCGCTAATTTGTTTTTAAAAACACTAAAAACACGGAAATTCGTTAGAAATTAGTGGGTGTGATTTTATTAATTATTTGATATTTTTAAAAAATTCACAATAAAATTAAAATTTTTAATATGAAAAAATAACAATCTAAAATAATAGTGAAGGTTAAATTTAAGCGGTCTACAATAATAAATAAATATTTGTAAAATATTAAATGGGCTTGGCCCATTCAGTTCAATTTTGGGCCAGACCACTTTTTATGTACGAATATGTTCTTTTCCCTAATACGTTGTGAACCAATATTTTTAATGATTAAATGATTAAATAAAAATCTGAACTATGAGATAATTTGGGTGAAATTGAAAAAAAAAAAAAAAAAAAACAAAACAAAATCAAAATAATCCAGGAATCCACGGTATGATATTGTCTGCGCCGATCATTTTATGATATTGTTCAATACCAATGGACTATTCCTTGATTATAAACCCATGATCATTTTGAGCTGATGTCCACTCTATGATATTGTCTCAGGCCTCATACCAATGGAGATATTTCATGTTGTCCAGGCCTCATACTAATAAAGATATTTCATGTCATACTATTTCTGATTATAAACTTATGATCATTTCGAGCTAATGTCCACTCTATGATATTGTCCAAGCCTCATATCAATGAGTCCACTCTATGATATTGTCCAGACCTCGTACCAATGGATATGATATTGTCCAGACCTCATACCCATGGAGATATTTCATGTTGTCCAGGCCTTTGGTGGGGTCTCCCACATCATCGATTGTGATGTCCCACATTGGTTAGGGAGGAGAACATAACACCCAAAGGTGAACATAACATCCAAAGGTGTGGAAACCTTCCCCTAGAAAGAGATTCAAGGAAGGACCCAACCATGATCATTCCCTAAATTAGACTTTTATCATCCATCCATCCAACTCATGCCCCTGGAGTCTTAGTCATTTTTTACTACCTTCGAGAGGCTTGACTCTTTTTTCTTTTTGGAGTCCTTTGTTCGACATTTGAGGACCAATCTATTGGTACGACTAAGTTTAGGGCATGACTTTAGTACCATGTTAGAAAGAACGCGACTCTCCACAATTGTATGATATTGTCCACTTTGAGCATAAGCTCTCATGAGTTTGTTGTTTCGTATGAAAGTATATTGTACCAAGGGTGTTTTTAGAGTATACCAAATCAGTATAGCTATCCTTCTTCTAACACAGCAACGCAATTTCACAATCAATATCAAAATGAAACACTAAATAATTTGTTCCTTCTTTTCTTGGTGCTTGTCAACGTAGAATCATGAACCATTCATTCAATAGAAAATTATGAAAATTCCTATTATATAGTATTAAGAGTTGTATTGACTTCAGGCTACACAACAAAGATTGGGTAAAATGTTAAACGTTATAGTGCACATTTATCAAGAAAACTTCTTTTTATCAAGATTTGAGCATCAAATGAGTTAAGATAACACATGTTGAATATGCATGAATACTAAAACCGTACCAGCCGAAGAAATATGAAACTATGACATGTTGATGTTGTTGATTATATTTTTTTTTAATTAGTAAATAATATATATATTTTTTAACTTTTAATTAAGAATGAGATAAAAATAAAAATTAATGGATCAAAATTGTCACTTTTAAGAATTACAACAATAAAATTAGATGATTAAATAAATTCTGGGATTTTGTTTGTCGACGAAATTTTGTGAAAGGTATTCGATCACAACAAAAAAATGTGCCTATCAATAACTTATAAACATCTTATTTCATATAAATGATTTTTAGAATACAAGAAAAAAAGAATGAGCTTTGCACGTTTCCCACAAATAGCAAACAAAAAGAATGAGCTTTGCTCGTTTCCCACAAATAACAAAGAAATGAGGCTATGGGTTCGATGCCCCTTGACTCGGTCTAACTGGAGAAATGTAAATATTTTTTGGCATCATTTCAGGGTTAACGGGATGGTTCGGGGTTGATATCCTATGACTAGGTCCAGATTGAGAAATGTGCCCATTTCTCAATAACATTCCAGAGCTGACGGGATAGTTTGTGTGCGATATCCTCTTACCGGGTCTAGATGGAGGAAAGTGCACGTTTTTTCCTATCGATCCATATTTGACACGAAAGTGTTGATTGGACGTCCTGAGCCTGGACCTAGATGGAATGATATACAAGCGTTTGGATAATATTCCAGATCTGACGTCGGCTAGAGTAGGTGGATAAGAGAAGGTCCTTTGATTGAGCCTCGAAAAATGAACGTATCCACGTCTAGGAGCATGTACGGTTTTGTGCACAAATCCCAAGTGTACCCTTACGGTTTCTTTATTGGCGGTGGGAACAACATTTCTAGCAGCGTTGGCTTGGGAAATGAGCAAATGAAACCCAAAGAGGATGAGAGTATAGGCTCCCCAAGACATCTTATAAGAGCTTCTTGGGGCCATTATTGCTGTGGGTTGTCTCTTCTCCTTTCCTTTGCTCTTCTTTTATAACCATTCTTGGCTTCTATTTTTAGTCGTGTCCACCCCTAATCTCTTTTGGAAAACACTAAAATCACGTAAATTTGTTGACAAATCACTGGGTGAGTTATATCCACCCGTGCTCCAGCCCATTGGGTTGAGGGATTTTTTTAAATCAACCAAAAAGTTCGGGTTAGTTGAATTGGTAATAACACACAACCCAACCAACTTGAAAATTTTCGCAACCCAACTTAACCAATCCCAAAATTTTCACAACCAACTGAACCTGAAAATTTTCAGGTAAAATATGCTTTAAAATTACTTAAATATATGTATACTCGGGGTGAGGATTGAACATTATATATTTTTGTTTTAAAATAACCTAAATTTATGAGAGTCGAACTAGGCTCAAAATAATTCTTGCGAGCACGAACTACCATTTAGAAAACCCGTGAATACGCTTACATTTTTAGCGTATTTATATCATAAATTTTAATCGGTTCGGGTCAACACAAGGATTTTATCCTATAAACCCGAAACTGAACCGAGCCTATTCGGGTTTAGGAAAAATAACTCAACCCAACCCTTATAATTCGGGTTGGGTTGGTCTGGGTTGTCGAGTTGGATGTACACCCCTAGTATCTAGTTGTGCATTATCATGCATGAACCTATGAGATCGATATTAAGGTCACATCTTGAGTGTCTATCGGGAGATGAGAATGAGACACCAAACAAACAACTAATATTAATGAACTATGAACTACCAATAAGCTGCTTATTAAGTATATTTTATATACTCAATCCTTGCTACATTAAAAATTTTCAGATGAGCCATGATGGAGATGTCGAGGCGGAAGTATATACGAGTTAGAAGCTATGAAGTTTTGGGTTAGATCGGTGTATTGTACCCCTTTAATATGTTTCCCTTACGAGCGCTTGATTATGAGATTTTATGAAGTACCTATATCATGCTTTTGTGTGTGCGTCGTTGTACGGTGCATGCAAGTTTAAAAAGTTTAAATTAAAAGGTGTATTTTTAAATGTTCAACGCAATAAGTAATTGCCCGTAACTCGGGCTCTCAAAAAGTGGGTCGTTATATTCCCTCTTCATTTCGCTCTATTGCTCCATCCGTCACTATCGTTTTATACTCTTATCTATCGATCGGCTGTAAAGTATTTACGTGACTTGACTCATAATTGAAAGCTTGTTCGAAAACATCATAAAATAAAATAAAATGAAAGCTCTACGTAATCTGCTTACCTAAGAATGCTCCATTAATTCAAAGCTGTAACAACTTCATCATTTATTTCAGTTATCAACTCTACTAAATAATAAACTCACCTACCAAACATCTTAACCACTCATTTTATTGCATAATCTTGACTTAGATCTAAATGAACGATAACGCAGGTATGAGGACATTCGTGATGGAGGGAGCGGTGGCCGATTATCCAATGCACAATCGTGGCTAGCAGTTTAGGGTTTAGGGACAATCGTGGACAATCGGTCCAGTTTAGGGTTTAGGGTTTAAGGACAATCGTGGTGACCGATTATGCGATGCACATTTTTTATAACGGCGTGGAAATCTCTCCTAGCAGATGCATTTTAAGAAAACTTAAAAGAAAAAATCCAAAGAAACAATATTGGTTGGTGGTGGACTTGGGCCATTACAAATAGTATCAAAGCCAGACACCATGTGCCAGCGAGGAGGCCAAGCCCTGAAGGGGGTGGACACGAGGCAGTGTGCCAGCAAGGACGTTGGGCCCTGAAGGATGATGGATTGGAGGGTCCTACATCAATTGGAAAAGGGAAAGGGAATGAGTGCCAACGAGGACGCTGACCCTGAAGGGAGAGAAGAACGAAGCACTCTTTCTAAGAATATGAAAACCTTTCCCAATTTTAAACCACAAGGGAAAAGCTGGAAAAGAGGAAAAGCATCATCATAAGAGATTCCAAGATGATTCCAAAGGTCTCTTTTTCATCTGAGATAAAAGGGTCAGGTCAGACTTCAGAGTGTGTCCCATAACTAAAACCAGTAGTGAGCCTACATGGGGTTCATGAACTGTTCCTTCTGTCAAGAAACCAAATCAAATTAGTTTAGTTAAGCTGAATTGTCGGCATCCCTTTGTTCATCAAAGATGGAATTGCCCCTCTTAAGCTTCTTCCTTCTGTGCATGTTTTTTGCAGCCCCTTCTTGTGGTACATACTACACACCTCCAAGCGTCCCACGTTTAACAGATCTCGTACCCAATGTCTCAATCGATCAATACTTCGCCAAGATTTTTGGGGCGGCAAATATCCAGCTGATGAGCAATGGGTCCTCTCTCAATCTCACTCTGAACAAACATTCTGGTAAATCATCATTGGATCTTAGCTTCTCCTTTCAGCCCGACTCTGTTTTGATTCATAACTTCTTCTCTTTTCATTTCTGAAGGTGCTGGTTTGGTCT